AAATTTTAAGATTTATTTTCTCATTCCCAAATTTCCAAAATATTAATTACTTTAAAAATGTAGACTAAAAAACGTAAAATTTGTATTAAAAAATCTACCACAATCCATCAACTCATAACCAACAAGACACTGATACAACTCGTGATTGGATAAAATATCAAAAAACTTAATGGCTACATGCATGTCGTGTCGTATAGAATAATTTTTGTCGGTAACAAAATCATGGTTAGTAATTCATTATCATTCCCTAAGCATCATCAATTTCCACAAAAATACGACAAGTGCATAAAATGAGGAAGGAAGGAAAAAGAAGCCCCACTTCCACTATTTAACAACAAACACACAAAATTATAGCCAACTTTTGGACACACACTGAATAATTTGGGACCAAAATGGTTCCAGAATATGTATTTTTAAATTCTGCAGCTCCACTAACAAATTGTTCGAAAACCAATTTCCTGGAAATTTCAATATAATCGTGACAATTTATCCCAAAATATTGAAGTTTCTAAATACCAAAACTGGTAATAATTTCTCAGCGCGAGTATAAATAATTCAAATTCAATTTTACACAAACCATTTTATCCCGGGAAAATTGAATTTCGCACAAAACCATTACGAACATCCTACCTATTACTTCTACTTGGTGCCAATTTTATTTTGTTACCAAATACTTTAGCGAGCAGCATCCCTCTCCTTAATGGAAAAGCAGTGTAGAAAATATTAGAAAATTCACCTGTCCTGCATTAGTAGGAACACGACTCTGCATTATTCAAACCTAGCCACCACATCCCATCCGTATTATTCAAGCCAAATGAAAGGATTACATTCACTTCTCTCCTCATGATTCCATCCAACCTTACAATCAAATTCCATTACAATAATAAATGGCACACAACAATACCACGACAAACAACAATGCAATACGACACAGCCCAACAAACAACCGTCAAATCAAAGTAGTAAATTTGTGACCCCGTTCGGATTACATTACCCAAAAGCCCATCCTATTCCACACTTTTACCAAATTCTATAGGTATTTAGGCCAGTGGTGGAAGGAAACAAACCCAAATTTTCGTCAATAGGTGACGGTGTATTTTTAACCTGAAGTGAAATGGAAACTGGTAGTCCTCCTCTTTGAAGACAGAGTTTTGTGGCTGGAGGCATAATTTTTTGTCACAGTTTTTCAAAAATTTTGTCTAATGCGGATTTTTCCGATCCAGTAAATTGTATAATTTTTGCAGAAAATACGGAAATTTTTAAAAGTTAAGAACGTTCTTCACAAATATTTGTTAGATGGTGAAGCCCATATTGTAAAATATGGAAATTCATAAAGGTTTACATAGGTTTACACAGGTCATTTATTTTCATGTAAAAACAAAGCACATCTATCCAATGTCAAAATATTTCAATTTTGCAACCTTTCGCAAATTTGCAATTTTACAAGACTTTATAGTTACAAATATTTGCCTATACATTACAATATTTCTGAACAACTTTCCCTAAACACTTATGTATACATTTTATTTCAACATTTAAACAGCCTTCCGGCAATAATCAATCTTAATTTAGATGGAAAATATAATAATTAAATGCCTCTTCTCAGCCTTGATAAATCATCCGGTAAAATGTGAATATGACAAGAAAAGTGAAACTTGGTTGGAAACAGATAACATAAAATCTCCCGTTTAATCAATCTTCGTTATTGATGAAGATTATGTATTTGTATTTGTAAGGGATTAATTATGCTTATTCAAAAAATTTGCGTAAATTATGTACAAGGGTTAATTTGCATTTTTTCTTCAAAACTTGGCAAATTTCAAAATTTTAAATATTTGTCACCATTACACACGTTTAATTTTTGGTGAGAATACATATTTTCGAATTGTAGTATACAAATTGTTAGACTTTAGTGCTGTAATTATTAAATATGAAGATTTGTTATTATTTTTAACTGCTAGATAGATAACAGCTTTATCCAATGCGTTTTAAAATTTTATAATGCAGAGTTGACTCGATCGATGTTTTAAAATTGTAATTTTAATAAAAATCCATCCACCCGAATTTATTTGACTGAAATGAAAGTAAAAGCCAAAAATCCTTACGCACAAAGGATAACAATATTACATATGCAATCTCACTTCTTAACAATGCCGATTGACAAATAAAGTTGCTTTATAAGAACAAGATATCAATTTTGTAGTTATTTATTTATTAACGCCATAACAAACAGTGACAGGACAGGTGACATAAAACTAACCACAACTTTAACAAGGTAAAACCACCCACTGCCGTCTCATATCACATTACTTTCATAAATAATCTTTGGGCACATGTATGTATGTCAAAATTGTAAGGCTTGTTGCACAATCAATTAATTATTGTAAACCCAGGACAAAAAGACACTCTTAGAAATGAGTTGGTTTTTTACCGACGAGTTTGGTAATAGATATGTGTTTACCGAAAGTTACCAATTTGGTGATGATTATTGCAGACTATTTGGTAATATTACCATGTGTTACCATGATTTAGTTGATTTAAAGTTGATACTAAATGTGTAATACACATTGTGTATATTTTTACCAATTTACCGGTCACACCTGTTACCAAAAACCTAGAAAATTTTCAGTTTGGTAATATTTTTTACCGAAAGTTACCAATTTGATTATGATAACTATTTGGTAATATTGTGTGTTACCATTTTATAGTTTGATTTAAAATTGGTATTAAATCTGTATACTTTTACCAATTTACCGATTATACCGATTACCAAAAACCCGGAAAATTTTACCCCCAACTTTTTAAGAGAGCAAATATCTATAAACATCTCCATTACAAAATTCTCTCCATATGTCTCCTCAAAACATCTTGTCATCATACATCATCATTAATTGCGTAATGATCAGTGCACACCTGTTTTGCAAAAAAACATTCAACCATACGCAACCAATTTGTTTGTTAAATAAGTTATTAAATGACATCAATCTATGAAAAAGGAAGGAAGTAAAAGTGGTCAAAACTTTCCATTTAAAAAAGTTAACTCCAAATTTAAAAAGTTCCACAAATTATTATTCAATTTGCATCTCAATTTCTGCCAAATTACGCATTATTTGCATTCTGAGAATTTGCATAGCTATGCATATTTTCCTTTCATTGATTCATTTCTTATTAAATACTATTTTTTTATACTTCATATTGATTTCAAAATTGATTTGTTCCTTTATGTAAATATTTTTTTGATTATCATCTTGTCGCGGGTGGTAAATTGTTACTCACGTGGAAGTAGAATGTGGATATAGCTTTTCAATTCATTGGTGGTCTGATAATAAATAGAGACGTATGCAACGCAATAACGTAATGAATAATGGTGGTGGTCAGTAAATAAGTGCAAGTTATGCAATAATAATATCGCGATAGAAATTCAGTCTCGGTACAAAATCAACAATGCCGACTTTTTTTGGAAGATATGTAACAATGCTACCAAAATATTAGTCTTACTTGCAGTACAAAACTTGTATGGAATAATAAATTGTGAGTGATAATAATAAATACGATGGGGCAAGAAGTTTGAGAAGGAAATCAATTTTAAAATGTACACAAAAACACATTTGTTACAGAATTGAAAATAGGAAGCATTCCAATTTTGTCATGAATTATCGTAAAAATTTCAAAAATAAACTAGCCGTACAACGGATCTTCTTTCAATATTTTTTTTACAATTTTCTCGATTTGCAATCCTGACGCCAAAGTCTAGCAATTCACCAATAATTTTATTAACTTTAATAATTTTTTAAAATTAACTTTGTTAAATTCTATCACCGAATTAAATCTTTTACATGCAATTATTTTTGCAAAACTGTTCGAAAAATTTTCATAATCAAAATTTTTTTTCATAATTGTAACATCTTTAAGTCAATCGTTATGTATAATCTATCTTTCTACTACTATTTACCAATATCAACCATCTCAAATATTTAATTTCGCCGTCTACCTTGCACATATTTTAATTATAATTATTCCAATAAAATCGATACTCTCTCTTACCCCTTAAAACCCAACCCTTAATTTCTATTCCGGTTAAAATTACATGTTATTGGACATAAATCAAGAATAAACTCAAACACAGTTTCACTTATTTCAACAACCTACACGTTTTTGATCATTCATTGTTTCACTACAACAATGTCGTCTAAATTTACATTTATGTATATCAAAGTCGCAGTCAATAACTAGTCAAAATCTGCCAAATTATGTATGGCACTTTTTACTTTCTTGTTTGCGATAGTCGCTAAATTAGCTCGGATTTTGATTTCAATAAAGAAAGTCCAACTCCAATTATTGATTGATGGCTGCAATTTGCATTTACAAAGTAGCTTCGACTACTTTACTTTGTGGTAGCAGCAGAAAATTAGATGATTTCAAGCCTAACCAAAAATTGCATACAATTGATATCGTTTTTTATCTCGTGCTTAATTTCACACCCTATTAAACTCGTTTCGTTTTCGTTTTAAGAAACATGCACCTGCTAAATGGGCTCGATTTATGTATGCGCGTCGTCTGACCTAGAGATTGACAATATTTTGGCAAATTGAGGAGTAAAAAGGTTGCAAATTTTTGCGATTTGTTCCATTTTGGGCAACATTTTCAATGAGGTAGATATGTAAAATTTTAAAAATTGTTGAAATTTTGTATTTTTTGAAAACATCGGGTATGCAAATTTAAATGAATTAATTTGTGTTCAATGCGACAGTCCCAATATAAACAATCTGATATAGTAACTTCTAATCTAAAATTTCTACATTAATAAAATCGTCGCCAAACTCTTACTACAAAATCACAATTGCAATTATTTAACGTTACACGTGTTAGATGTGCAGCTAACTTTTCACCTAAGACTTACATATAATTTCTACGTTCATAAATCCACCAAAAAAATTATCGTCTACATTGACCAATTTTTTTTTTCTAAAATTATATCCCCAACTAAAAACAATTCTTACCTTATTATCAATCATGCAAAGCATGCAATTTATCCCCCAATCCTTTTTTTTATTTTATCCATCTTGAAATATGTATGAAATCCACTCCAATATTGTTAACCAAACAAGAATCACTTCACAAGTCACAATGCTCTCGCAGTCACAAAATCCACTCTACAATTAACTATTGGCAATACAAAATTATACCAAAAAGTGAAATGTTTTTTAGCAGTATTTAAATTCACAATAACAATTTTTTTCTTTGATCAATTCCTTCACCTCCAATCCACTCAAAACAAATCAATCTTCTCACTCTTCTCACAAAAATTCAAATTTCTTTCAAAAATATTTACTTCCTCGAAATTATTATTTTTTTCACAATTTGTCACAATCAAGAAAATCGTTGTCAAATTAAAATCTGCTTTAGTTTTTTCTTCTATTTACGTGTCACAATCACAGCACAAGTCTTTCTCTATTTTTTTCTTCACGAGGAAGTCCAATCCAGCACAATAATTTGTCCAGGTCGGGGGTCCAACTTTGTCGCGTTTGCTATTATTATTTCTCACAGCACAGAACGATTTAATCATCCAATGACAAATTATTTATTTATATATTTAACAACAATTTTTTTAATCAGTTCAATCACTTTTTTTTCTTCCCCAGCATCCAAATAAGGATTCAATCAATAAATCGCTAGTATTGTCACCTTAAATAAATCACTCCTTAAAGACCTTGCCGTGTATTTAACTAATAATCTTTAAAGGAAGTTAAGCGGCGATTTTATGTATGTATATACTTATTATTTATTAACAATTAATTAATTGATTGACAGGTCGATATGCAAATTAGTGAGAGAATTCCACTCGTAACTTCGTGTCGAAGGGCAGTGTAAACACTCAAGTTAAAACCTGACAAGGTTTAAGTTTATAGTTTGAAGGTTTGTGTTTGATGAAAAGTGAATGTTTTTTTTTTAAATTTGGGAATGTTTTCAAAAAATTGGTGAAGATTTTTTTGAAAAATTGACTGTTTTGAAAATTCAATTAACACCACAAAATTGTTAAGGTGCGTAAAAATGTCAAACTCGAGCAAACTGTATTATTTTACACTGTAACACCTGAATATTTATCTGTCTGGAGACTTTTGTAGCCTGGCTAAGGGTCCAACCTTCCTTTTAAGGACCCTTCTTCCTTCCAGGAGTGAAAAAAAACTGACGGCGAAGGGGGAACCAAGAACCAACCAGGTTTTATTTTCTTACCAGTTTTTTTGTTTTGCTTTGTATGGAAATATTTTAGGAGAAACAGTTCCTTTACTTATCAAGTAATAGGTTTTCTAGTTAGTCGGAGAGCGTCTGGTGATGTACACGGTTTGAGGGAAAAAGTGCAACTGACACGAGAAGCGAGAATTTAGAGAAGAGATGAGACGAGAGGAGAGAGGAAAGGGTTGCACTTTACTTTACAGACGGCTATTTGCAAGCAACAGGTATGCATAAGTAACACATGTGCAACAGTACAATTTCGGAGGGGTGAACATGAATGGGGTTGGATTTTTGAGAAATTTTTGTGGAGTTTGAAATAATATTTTGAAGATTCGTCAGGAATTGTAGAAAAAGAATTTGCACAAAATTATTAATTTCAATTGTACTGAGACCTGGATTTTTAATAAATTTTTAGAATGTAAAATAATATTTTGAGGATTTTTTTTGATTCGTTAGGAACTGTGGTAAAAATTGTTGCCCAAAATCATTAAGAGTTCCATTGTTCTGATTTCCGGAAATATTTAATTTAATTTAATCATCTTTGATGAAATTAGTTAAGACAAAAACATTTTTGGATCGAGGCAAGTGACCATGCTATCTTACGCTTTATAGATTAATTAAAAATTTTAAAAATTTAATTTTTGGGTTTTAAGTTCAACAAATTTTTTTTTATTAGAAATTTTTGTAGGTTGTTATCTTGACATTTTTTCTGAAGTGATTTCATTTTCATTGAATCCACGAGTTTTGTGGACATCCATTTTACCTGTAATGCTCCCTTTTTTACCACAACTTTGTTGAATACCGTAGCTTTATATTCTGCTAGAATCTATCTCACTTTACTATCGAGTTGTTGAAATACATAGTTCTATGTGGCTCTAGAATAGCTAACATTTTTCTGGCTACACTCTAAATGATTTTGTATTATATTTTATTACTAAATTGTTAATAATTTGGTTACAATTTTGTGACCGGTTTGGTCCTACATTTTACTTGCATACGGTAATTTTTACAATTTGGGAAGAATTTTTACCAGTTTGGTAACAGGTTTCCAACAGAATGGTGAATTTGAATTGTAAATCTGCAACATCTCATGGATTGATTGAAGTTTTTATTGCTGGATTAATTAATGAATGAATTAATTTTTTTAATTAATTCACATCAAATAAACCCGTTAGAAATACTGCATAGAAAAAGTCACACTTTTATAACCAAAACCTTTAACACAAATTAGCACAAAAAATTACAAAAAAATTAAAAGTTCATACCAAACTAAAACCAAACCAGTAACAAACAAACAATGCACTAACACAAGTTATTTATTACCGCCAGGTAACAATGTATTCCCACATTATTTAGAGTGCCTGGTCTCACATATCATTTCGTTACGTTCTTACGTCGTCTACTATAGTTCATAGTTTCGTTACTGTGTTTGGTTTACCTCTCAATTAGACTTGGAGATCCGTATCACAATAACACAACATCCATTTCTTCTTCCTCTCGATGATCTCTCCGTGTCGCACTTTCCTTGTCTGCCTACCTGTTACCTCAATACATATCTACCTGTTGCGTACTCCACATTTCGTAAAAAGGTAACAAAACCCAAGCAGCAAAGTAAAAAGCAGCAGATGACGATTCGAGGAACGAATCACGAATCCTGTCATTCATTCAATTTCATTCATTTTTTGGGAGGAATCCGTGTTACAGGATCATATACAAAATTGAATAAGGATTAATTATTCACAAATATATAGAAATAAATTGAGCCAATACACGCGAGGGTAGTTGTGACCTTGTAAACTTGGTAAATTTATAAATGTTTTCAAAAGTTTATGTATATAGGAAAGAAACTCGGGTTATAAATCTATTATAAACTTATGAGCACAAAATATATATAAATAAATATAGTCTCTTTATTCAGTAAAATTATGAGAATAATTTGGAAAAGTTAGACAGTATTTTTTAGAAAAATTTCAGTGCCTGAGTCATCAACTTGGGTGAAGATACGTCAGATGGAAAGTGTCAAAAAATGTGACTAGCTACAGTAGTTTCAAGATGGAATTTCTGTGAATCATAATTCTACTGAATTTTGACTATGAAAGTTTTTACAAAATTTACCGGAAGCAATGGCACGTCTCGGATACAAATATTTTAAGCTTTTCAACAGGGCGCAATATGCAGAATGTGTACTTATTTGAGGCTAAAAGTTGACAAAAATTTTCATGAAACTCATAATTTTAAGTTTCTATTGCAAAATTTGCTTAAATTGATTTCAAAATTATGAATTTGCGTAATATTTAACAAAATACGTAAATATATCTTCCCAATTAACTCGTGCTCTTTAAGAATTGCACATACATAATTTTGATACAATTTTATTCCACGACTTTCCATTGTTCTCATACTTACTTTGTGTTGTTGTTGTTAGCATAATCGGCAAAAATATTCGCACGAATTTGCACCAAAAAATTCACACATTTCTTAGATATCTTGACATTCAATCTATGTACACCGGACTTTCACAAGGTTATCTCGCCCCAAGTCTGTCTCTCCTCATTACTAAAAACAGATATTCGTCATCATCGCGTACGTAATGGCGAGGCATTCCGTTTACCTGTGAACCACTCACCCATTAACCGACTAGCTGTCCCCCCGTCTTGTTATTGTGTTTTATTGGTCGTGTAATTTTTATGACTTGTTTTGTGCAGGCTATAAAATAAGCTGTCTAGTCTGTTCTTCTGAGGAATTATATAGGTTTGTATGTGGTGGTGGTTGGGTGGGGTCGATTTTTGCGAATGAGGATCATCATCCCTTTTAAAATATTTAAACACTTTCGGTTTCTTTTCATTCTGTGAATTTCGATAAAATGAATTTTTTCTAATGGAAAGTTTCCGGGTGGAAATATTGGGGGTATTCATTACGAGTTTGCATCGTTAGGAACGTTAGCAAGGAGAAACTACGTTTGCAATTTCGCAAAAATTTTGGCTTGAAAATTCATTGGCGAACTTACGAATCTCCTATTTACATAGTTCTCAACATTATTTTTCGAAATTATATTCCGATTTGAACATGCAAAACTCGTAATGAATTTCCCCATTAATTCCAACTTCATGCATTTAGAATTTCTCTAAATAAGTAATTCAAACATCAAACAAGCACAATTTCGATTTACATATAATTTCGATTTGAGCCGAAAATAAAATTTAAAATTTATTCAGAATTTGAAATAGAATTTAATCTTTACTCAGAATTTTAATTCCTACTAAAAACGTCAACTTTTTGTCGACCATATAATGATAAGTTTGTTTGTGTATCCTTAAAATTCTCTCCATGTTGATTTGTCTCAAGCTTCAAAATTCAATACTTCAAACAACTGAAATATTTAAATTTATCATCTATCATCTTAACCTCAACTATTTTTAAAACATGAAAAAACACTTAAGTCAACACTCCTCTCGACATTTCCTCTTCACCCTTCAGAACAAAGAACAATTACAAAAAACTAATTGTTCCTCTAAATATGCGTCCTCACAACGATTTACCCCCATAATTTGTACGAAATCATATTCACAATTAAGCATTCACACGTGAAACTCACAACTCAAAATTCAAATCCATCCATAACCAAAGTCGGAGGTAACGTAGCGCTACCGTCATACGTTCCTCACAGATTTCCTCGACGATTTTTTTACCTACCTAACAAACCACCTGACTCATAATGTAAACTAATTAAAACAAATGCCTGGAAAATAATGCGTGTTTTCTATGAGTAATTAATTCCATGCGGAGAACGAACAGCATATGGTAAAGATTTTAGTTTTTTTTTTCTGTTCTGGTGATAATTAGCCAACCTTCCTTTAGAGAATTTACATTCCTTAAAAGTGCAGGCTTTTCAGTACATCTTCTTATTCTTATCCAGCAATGAGTATGGGTAGGCAGGCGTACATAACATGCGTATATTTTCCATTCCTTGGTACATATTATGTAACAACAATGCATGCCACTCTTCTACTCGAAAGGAGTACACACTTAGAAATTCGGGGGCATAACAAAATCAAAAAAATGCATAATGAAATACTGATTTCTCAAATAACAACTCATCTCTCAACTCATGCAATGTTATAATTCTCATGAATTTTAGTTTTGGCGTTAAATTTAATCATTAGTATTAAAGTGTTTAGGTATGCCTTTAAATCAATTTTACCATATTATTACCAAAGAGCATTCGATTTGGTAATATAATATGATATCGTTTTAAAATCGAGCATATATTTTAAAGAATATTGCATATACTGGTTTTGTTGTAAAGATCATGACAATAATATCTTCTGTTTTTATAATTATGTAAGATGGAATCAGTCTGATTGAGGGGTACCAGTATTTATTTTACGATTATTTACGTGTGCAAATTCATTATTTTTCGCTTTGTCGTGCAAATTATGCATTTAATAAATGACAAATTTAGAATACTATGTGTTTTCAGCAGTATTAACTAAATTACTTATCTAAAGTTTTAATGGGTAATGTTAAATTGATTATTTTAGTGCACCTATCCCCACGAAATTTTACTGTTCCCTTATTTTTAAGGGTGCACATGCAAAACAAGAATCCCTTGCAACAATGCAGTGCATGAAAGGATGCAATCTCTTCTTTTCACAAGATAGGCCGTGAGTGAGCAAGTCAAAAACTGATAATCCCATTATTATCATTATTTCATTTTACGATTCGGCTCCTTCTTCTTCACCGAAGGAATGCGTTTACAATCTCTTCGTTAGCTGAGGAGGAGGAGGAGGAGATGAAGATGAAAATGTAGGAAAAAACTAATTTATGAGTGGACATGTAATAACAACAACAAAAATACAGGATTTCCGCCTTCCTTCCAGGCTTTTCCATGCATAAGAAGCTAAAAAGCTGACATTTCAGATTTTGAGATGAAATCTGTACCTGAAAAAGTTATCCAGAGAATAAATTCCTCCCTTTCATGATTCTGACTCGAAGCCGGATTTATATCCGTAAAGAAATAAGCTGGGGTAAACATATGCTGAAAAGTGGTGGGGGTGAACAAGTTCAAAATTCGAATCTTAAGATTTTCAAAATTTTAAT